GGGGGTGCGTCTTAACATTTTCCAACTTGTCTTCCGTTTTCGTTAAACGACATTGGCTATGAAATCGATGCTGTCTTCGGCATGTTTTAGAGCCGGATTATAAAGATCTAACCCAAGCTGAAATATAGGGCCTTGCATGTCTGCACATATGTGCCTGAGGTTTGGGGATTTACTGTTTTCTTTATATTATGCACAACGTGAGGTGTTTTATTGGCATATCTTCGTACAGATTATCTGACTTTCTTTGAAAAAAGAGATGAAAAAAAATGGTAATATTTACTTTTATGATGTCTCAGATCTCGTGGCTCCTATAAACACATCTTACCCCCCGTTTCCCTTTTGGCATTTCGATCTATCAAACCATTCGATTTTTAATAAAAACGTAGATGTGTGCACACCGTGTGAAGAAACCCGACACCCCCAAGGTCGCGAGGGGAAGACGCTGATCTCCCCGGGCTCTGGACATGGCCGAAGCTTTTAGTCATCGCTGGCGACAGTCGGCGTCCTGGCTTCAAAAGGAAGGGTTAACACGATTATCGCGGGGTCAGGGAGTTATCCTGACAGGCAATTAGCCGTCCGCACACTGGAGAATTAGCCTTCTGGAATTAGATTCAGGCTTGGACGAACTCCACTCGGACTCTCCCCTGTTTGGACAAGGGCCGGAAGTAAATCTAGCCGGATAAGAAATGAAGAAAAAGATTCCTCAGTGTAAACGTGGGGCGGGATGCCGTGAAAAAGTAATGAAAGAGTCGAAGATTTCATGACTGGGTGGGTAGAGCAGAGGCATGCTAGAGGGGTACCCGGGTCCGCACGATGTCAGTCTGTAATGGAATAATGCAAAAGGAAGTACTCGTTTTACTTCTGGTACTAAATGTCTCTCCCCTCCTCCTCCTCCCCCCTCCCGGCACCTTTTGATTTCAAAGTTTATGTTAACCCAGACACTACGTGGTAAAAGACATGGAATTGACGATGGTGAAAAAATTATATTAATAACAGTCATCATCATCATCATCATCATCATCATCATCATCATCATCATCATCATCATTATCTTCATCATCATCATCCTCATTGTATAAAGCAGATTAGATATTAAAACAGTTAAGACCTGGTAGTATTTCCAAAAAAATCATCATCATCATCATCATCATCATCATCATCATCATCATCATCATCATCATCATCATCATCATCATCATCATCATCATCATCATCATCATCTTTTTGAAGTGCCAGATATATTAATGACATCGTAAACCATGGTTCATCACTCGTTTCTCTCTAATAATATTCCTGTCTTCACCAATAATTACTCAATAATAACAATAACAAAAACACTAACAATAATAACAGCAACAATAAAAACAACAATGATGATAATAATAAATGTAACAACATCTCAACGGTCCTCTGTTCCCAGGGTCCAACCTAGCCACCTCAGAAGTTCTGGTGTTCCTAGACGCCCACTGTGAGTGCAACACGGACTGGCTCGAACCTCTGCTGGCACAGATAGCCCAAGGTCATGACCAGGTGAGTTGGTTTATTACAGGTTGGGTTTTAGAAAATTAATAATGATGATATATAGTATTGATAATCATAATAA